TTTGATACAATAACCTGTTTTAGCTGCAGTTGTTTTGGTTTTTTGTTTTTTTGGGATCACACATCATCAATAAAGCCTCCTTTAGAACAAAACTGAATTCAAAACTTGTCATATCAGGAGGATGGAGGTCTGCCAGGGAAAACAGGCTAGTGAATAGACTCGCATTCCTCAAAACCAGAATTGTAAAGTATGGTCAGAGGAGTGTTTATTCAGTCCATTTTTTCTCTTAGAGGAAACCAAGGGAAAGGCACTGAAGAACACACAGTTTCTTTAGAAGTAGTCATAGAGCCTTGTTAATTTGGGAACATTTTAGTGGTACAGCTGACACTGAATAATGTATTTGACAGGGGCTACAATAAAATAACTAAGCATGCTCACCAAAGCCTGGAATAAACCCAATTTGTCTGGAAGAATTACGCTTGTTTTTAAAACAGAACTTGTATTGAATAGGGCAGAGACTATGCTCCAGAAATCTGCTCTGATTTACTCTTCAACAAATAACTGCACAATTTTTCCAAGCGTGAACCTGGGGTTAAAAAATAATTAATTACGCTTTCCTTTTTCAAAAGGACACAAGCCCAACACGCTTTGGCTTAATTCTGCAAAATGCTCTTTTTAATTCCGTGACATCGCAGCCATGGGGAAAACACACCTTTTCCATTCAGTTCAGGGACACTTCCACTGGAGGGCAGTTCACACTCTGCTCTCTCCTTCAGCGCCGGGGAGTACAGAGCCAGCTCATGAGTTTCTCGTGATCTTTTTCAAGCCCCTGACTACAGTCCCTCATAATTATTCTTACAACTACACAGTAATTCAATTCCCAGGTAACTGGGAAATCACCGGACAAGACGGAACGCTGCCACTGCAGCGCGGCGATTCCCCGGCAGGGGGCGCCGCCCCCCCGCTGGATCGGCCGGAGCCAGGGAAGCGGGAGCAGCGCCCGAGGGATCCCGGCCGCTGCCAGTACACGGGGAGCGTTTTTATCAGGACATAAAGATACAAAAAAACCCCGTTCAGTAAGAGCTGCGGCAGATTTACACTTTTTATATTCTTTTACACAAAAACTGCTCACTCTATGAAAGATGACATGCCTTTAGGACTATGTGTTATACTACCACATTACTAAGAATGTTTCATATTTCCAGGATGTCAGCCTATAATTTAAGAACCCTCAACCTCTCATCTCCAAAAAAAAAACCAAGCCAAACAATAATTTGTATGATAAAGTCCTTCTCCTGCCAATCACATCTGTATAACGACAAAAAGCAAAACCCCAACCAGAAAAAAAAAAAGACCAAAAACCCCAAAACCAAATCTGCAAGTTTTATCTAAATGCTAAAAAAAGAAGTATGTTTTCAGTTCCTAATTTCTTAACTAGTCCAGTTGATGTGCCATTTTCCAGTTGTTATTTCACATGAGAAACAGCACTCCTCTTCCAGCCTAGTTTGATTTGGAAATGGTTTCCTTTCAGAGGAGCTGAATTCCCATCTATCAGACTGCCACACGTGTCAGTACCAGAGCTGGGTGAAGCTGCACTGAGGATCCCACAGCCTTGGCAGTGCTGCCATCTAATGCACCAGGACAAGGAGTACAAGCACCCACATCGCTCTGCAACACTCAGGTAAAATAATAGAGTTCAGTTCCAAAATGTTGCATCCCTTCAGTGCCTTGACTTGCAACCCTGCACTAACGATGCCATGACAAATTACCTCGTCATCAAGCTGATGGATATAAATAGCCATTAACATATTCCATTTCAAGGGACTTCTACTGGAATGTCACAGTGCTAAACCACAAACCTTGTGTGCATGAACCTGACACTGTCCATCTGAGAATTCAGTTCAGTGACACAGCAGCTCTGAAGTATCAAGGAGGAAAGGAAGGCCTGTGGCCTTCCAAGTGATGGAGCTGGAAGGACAGGTTTCCGTATTTCAGGACAGCTTTCTGAGTATTCTGTGGACTTTCCTTTTCTGAGACACCAGTCAGACACAGTATGTTTGCAGGATACAGAAGGCTAATGAAGCACATCAAGATGATGATGGTACAACAGAGGATGAGTAGTACGATGATGCTCCTTCCCATCCCATCTGTTTTCAGAAACAGTAACAAATAGATAGGCATTAGGCAGGGCAGAGGGATAAAACTGGTCTTTACATGGTTGTTTATTTATTTGAAGTTTCAAATGCAACTAATTTCAAGATCAAGGACCTATAGCCATTTTTGTCACATCCACTTACTTCTTCAGAGCCCCTCAAAACACATACCACCAACTACTTTTACTGAACCTGGATAGTTTTTCTTGTTGGAAAGCAAGTGTTAAAAAACTCCCAACTAAATTAAAAAAAAAAAAACAAACACCTGACCTGACTGGTCCAGATTTCTCTAGCTGTGCAAATATGTTAACCTTTTTATCCCATTTTCCATTTCTCCCATCATCTCAAATTTTATTTTAACCTTAAAATCAAACTAAAGGTACCCAGTAAGGTTAAGATATTATAAGACAATTAATTCTCATCTTTCTGTTGGAAATATGGAGAAACATTTGCTATTCTTCAATGATATCATACACTGAAATCCATTAAGATCACTAACAAATATACAGAATATCATGCAGAGTAATGATTTTCTGCAGTGGTCTACCTGTGAATTCCACAGGTCCAGCTCATCTCATCTTACAAGAAGTTTTCAGCAGTTCCTGGGGAAAACCAGGTACATAGGCAGAATGGAAAGACATTAAAAATACTGAACACCTTTAATAATCACATGTGGCTCTAAAAAATACTCCACCTGAAAATACATACTAGAACCACAAATATCCCTTCTCCTACTAGTACTTAAGCAGCTGCTCACACAAAGGTTTAGATTTTTAACCTATTCAACAGCAACATCTAGGTTCAGCTTGCCCCATTCTTTAAAGCTTAACCAAACTCTTCCAGTCCTCAGTTCCTTACTTTCCATGTTGCTTGGGTAGGGTTTGCCAGTCCTTCCCAACTCTGAACACTGCTGATTCCCTGATGGCTTATGATGCTGTCAAGCATCTGGCAGCTAACTTTGTCTTGGCAGATCTGGTGAAGTTGAAAGCATCAGAAGCCTGACACCCTTACTTCTGCTGAAGTGGACACCATTATCTTGACTTACATACATTCTCCCTTCAATACCTGAAACACTCTTGGTTCACAGTTTTTTCAAAGAAAACAGAAGTTATTTGCCACATGCTGTAGTCATTTGCTGGATAGCATTCTTCTTCCTGCAGGCAGTATCATTCCCAGCAATGCAGTCTGAGTTTTCCTAGCTTTTCTGGATGATTTTCACCTTCCTAAGCAAAAGCAGCACTGCCCTAGTAGAGGAATAAGTGGAGGTTGTGGAAGGATGTGCAAAATCAAGTGCATACATGCAGAGGGAAGAAAGATGATGATCCTGGAGCCTGGACTTGCATAGAGGGACCATGGTCTGACTCACTTCAGTGACTTTTATAATGTTTAATTTGTAAATGCACACAGTGCTGTAAATTAAACGTCTGCACTAGTTTCAGCTGCAGCTTTAACAATACCCTCAAGGACTTTGTAAGTAAAGCTATTACAGAAAAAAGGTACTACTGCTACTCCCCCAGGGCCTGTGGAGGACCCTGCACCAGAGCAGGTGGATGCCCAAAGGAGGCTGGGAACCTGTGGGAAGCCCATGATGGACCCATGGGCCTCCTGGCAGGACCTGTGGGGGACCCACACTGGAGCAGCCTGGTCCTGCAGGACTGCACCCCACAGAAGGGACCAACACTGGAGCAGTCTGTGAAGAACTGTTGCCCTTGGGAAGGACTCGTGTTGGAAAAGTTTCTGGAGGATAGTGTCCTGTGGGAGGGACATCCCACATTGGAACAGGGAAGGGCTCCTCTCCCTGAGGAGGAAGCAGCAGCAGCAACAGCCTGTGATGCTCTGATTGTAACCCCCATTCCTCACCTCCCCTGACTGAGCAGAGGGGTGAAGTAAAGAACTGGGGATAAAGCTAAGCCTAGTAAGGAAGGAGGAGTGGGGGGAAGGAGCTCTAAATCAAATGGTAATAAATTCAACTAATTTTCCTAAGCCGAGTCTGTTTTGTCCATGACAGTAACTGGTGAAGGATCTCCCCCACCCTTATCTCAATCCATGAGCTTTTTGTAGTATTTTGTCTCCCTTCTCCAACTCAGAAGGCTTTGGCGGGCACCTGGTATCTAGCCTGGAGTAACCCTCAACACAAATCCATTTAAGCAACCCCCCAGAATTCAATGGCTTTTTGATGATTAATCAAAAACAGAAGAAAAATAAATCCTACCTCACATTTGGTACCATTACCTTCCCAATGTGACAGAAGATTAATAGCTGTGCTGGCAAAGCACAATAAACATGAAGTATAACACAGACACTCTATGAAGTAGCTTAGATGACAAGCAGCAGGTTATAAAACCAAGAGCTAAAACCTTCACATGAGCATGTGCTACCTCTTCAGTCCCACAAGCTGGTTCAGAGTACTGGTTTCTGGCATAAGGGATCTGGTTCAGTTACACAGTAGCTTTACTAAAAAGACAGAGAGAAAAACCACCAAAACATTATCTCCCCATTCAAATAGTTCAAGAAGTTGCACAGTTTTCTAGGGTAAGTTCACACAAATGGCCAAACCACTTTGTGTGTAATGGAAATGCCTTTTTTGAAGTAATAACACTTCACATCACTCTGGTGAAAAATTTTCAAAATCAGCCTCACCAGGCTCTGTGGTTAGGCCCTGTGGAAGCAAAAATCAAATCCCTGTAGCCTGGTTTAGCATCTTTAAACAGAGAGACATAAATTCAGCCAGGGATCAGGACTCCCAGAGAACACTACAAATTTCAAGAGTTCTTGAAGAAAAATAGGGAGAACAAGTTCTGGAAGGGAAAATTACTAATACTGAGAGTCCCATTTTCTGTCCTTTAACACACTACAATATTGCTTATTTGTCAGCAGTTTTCAAGCAGGTTAAGTTTCAATTCTTACCTACAGCCAGTGCTGCACTCTGTTCTTGGCCCCCAGTCTGTTTTAAAAGAAAAAAGAGATTATGGAAATTAATTTTTTTTACACTAAAAGTCTTAAATGCGATGCAATGTGACCTTGGAAAAGCAAACACACATCTGTTCAAGACATGTTCTTGTGTATGTACTTGATAAACATAGTACTGGATCCATCACCACTGGGACTTTTAAAAACTATGCCAAGAAAATGTAATTCAGAACTGTGTTTTATCTCTAGGCATACAAATAAACAAGGAATGCCATTATTTGACAATGAGTGTGCTTCCAGAGAAAAATGCTGCCATATTAGACAATGCATAAACACACAAATTCCAAAATAAATTTAATAACTAAAGAGTCAAAGCTGCAATAAAATACCAGTGGCAAACTGTTCTACTCGCATTTCACATTGCTTTAACAAGAAAATCACACAAGATTCTAATCCAACCACACAAATGTGCACTTGAAAAAATTAAAGGCTTGCATGCTGACCTCCAGAGAAGGCACTTGCAAGTCACCACTGAAAATCATTTGCTTAACAAAGAAAACTAGTGTTCTTGGACAGCCTCAGTGTGCTGCACACATCATTACCACCATCCTAACATGGTGAAATAGTTACGTTAATAGTACAGTTTAAAGGAGAAGATATGGAGTATTACAGCAACTCAAAGCTTCACAGGAAAATACAGTATAACATTAGCCAGAGAACGCTCTGCAGATATACAGCAGCACAGGCAAGAAGCAGAGTGAAGACCACAGTGAGAATGACTCTTCACAACCCAGAGAACTGAACATAAGCAAAAACACAACTGTAGAAATTTAACTCTCCATTATTTCCACTGCATGCATCTCTCTCAAAGAAATTTTCCCCTTGACCAGACTTGAGTACTTGAGTATGGGTAACAGCTGCTTTTGCCTTTGCCTATTGACTTCAGCTTCCCCTTACTTTCTCAGAAATAAGCAACAGCCAGTACTTCAGGACAAAAACATGATTAACAGCACTGTCTTTGTAGGAGCTGCTGCAACTCCCTAAAATGCACCCACTCTCATTAGGCATATTTTAAATATGGTTTTTTTTTTCTTCTCATGACTTCAGCCTGCTCAATTTGTGCTTTGAGACAGCTCAACAGAAATAAAACTCTGGAAATTGCTAGTGCCCTGCAGGTCAGGGCTGAACACAACTGGCATTGCAAAGAGAAACTGAAACCAAAGTGTCACCCAACACTACTGTAATAAGCTAATTTTCTGACAAAGAGTGAAAGAAAAGTCAGATAGGACTGAGCTATAAACAAAAACAAGAATTTTAAATTCATTAGAATGAGCAGACTATAGAAATAAATTTGAAAAAGGAAAAAAAGCCAACTGTAGCAGCTAGCTTAGGGACTTTGGAAAAAAAAACTCCTCTAATGGTACTAATTCATCTCTACAGAAATACACTTATTTCCAAGTGATAGAATTATTAGGGAAAAAAAATGAGGTCAGGTCTTTCCATCTTTCTGGACACAATGCTGCACACACAGAGACATAAGCACTTACCACCTGCAAGAACAACGTGCTGATGCTCAGGTGCCTTGTCCTGAAGGCTTCAATGAATGAGTGGAAGTTAATAATTAACAAAGCCTTCTAGGACTCCTGTGGTAATGAAGGCAGGAGGAGAATAGTAAAGGCATAAGGGAAAAGGGAAGCAGCCAGGAAAGCTGAGAATTACAGGTCAGTTGGACTATCATCAATAACAGGCAATGGGATGTTAGCACAGGAATCCATTAACTGGTTTCCTGTCTTTCAGTACCTATGAACAAGCCTTTGTGCAAAACAGCTCACACTGAGCACCACTGATGCTGTTGCTTGGTTTATACTGGCAAGCTAATAGGTATTTGATTTTTTTGCATAGTGTGATTTCACATCACAGTACTTTAAATTTAGAGGTTAGCACTGAGCAATATAGTACAGCACTGCCTAAATGGGTAGGAAATTGACTTGATCTCTAGTCAGGGAGAAACACCAGCAAAGACGCATTAAAAATACAGATGTGAAATGATTGGTGGAATGGATTCTTTACAGAATTAATGTCTGCACTTTGGATGCACCTTAATTTAGACTAAAGAGTTTCTAAATGAAGAACTCTTGAAGGCTCAACATGAACTGGGTTTTCATGCTGGGATAGAGGATTTGCAAAACCTCTGAGCTTCCTTCTCACTTCTCCTCAAGGTTTAGATCTGCAGATTATTATAGAAATACCACAAATAGGCACAAAATGAGACATGCAAACTATACAACTTAATAGGTAGTGAAAATTAAATAATTCAGACCCAGCATTTTTCAATTCCTTGTGATTCTGAGGTAGTAAAATATTTAATGTTACATTACAGAGAAAAAAATTCTGGGCAAGAAAATTAACTTTGCTCAATAGGTAACAGCTTATGGAGTCAAACAGCAGAAAGATTAATGCATTCTATCTCAGGGATCTCATTTACACACACAACTCCTTCCCTTGAACTGCAGCCTAACTTCACCACAGCACAAATAGGCCAAAGCATATCCCAATATCTCAGGCCAACTACAACAGAAATTCAAAGAACTGTCACAACAGTTGAAGAACCAAAATGGAAAACCGTCCAGAGTCATCAGAGAGGGACAGAGACTCATCTAAAATGTAATACAACAGAAACAAAACCAAGCATCATTCCGTTTGTCAGAGCAAAAGCCTGTAGCTGACAAGTCAAATGGTACCTGGATAAAAAAGATGCAGTAAATAAACTTTCATCAATGATGTAGTTTCATCATTCACAATGGAGAAAAAAAACTCAATGAAAACAAGATAACCACTGAGTAAGCCCTGTGCTTTGGGCATCCACCTCATATTGAACTGATGCTGCTTAACTCAGCAATACATGAAGAGATTTCACATGCGAACAGCGAACCATTAACTTCCAGTATGAAACCACTGCCTTCTGCCCAGCTCCGGCTGGACTAAGGAGCCTCTACACTCAGACACAGACTTGTCAGTGGCTGTCAGTCATGATTTGCTACAAGAATGATGATTTCTCAGGCTTTCCAGCACTCAGGTTCTGAAAACACTGAGTGGTAAGAAATAATAATCAACAGCTTTGCACCAAGAATCTAAATTACTTTCTGTCTACTCAACTGGTATCTCAGCTCATCAGGGAGCTTCAGAAAGTATTAACTTCAGAAAGCTTACAACACTTACTAGCAAAAGCATGCATGGCATTAATGTACTCTACATGAAATACTGGGCAGCCAGACTAAAGCTGTTTTCAAAACACAATAGACTGCTACTTTGACAGAGTAAATGTTTCAATTCTTAGTTTGCAGTTTCTTAGTTTGCAGTTCAAGCTTGCACCAGACTCCTCTTGGTAAGTACCACCAAACTGAAATCCATGTGAACCAGCTGTGGACTATGGCACAAATGTTCTCAGTTCATTCATTTTAATGGCCCTTGGATACAGAAAAAAACAGGATCTAGCTCAAAGACTACCTGCCCTGGCAATTTTTAGATGTTCCTGCTCTCTCGGTTCAGTTTCAGACTTGAAATAAAGTTTGTGGAAACAGCTCTAGAAAAACTGTTACCCTTAGAAGCACACATTAAAACATAAAAACCAAGCCCAGTCCAAAACAGAACCGCAAGTCAAATACATCCCACATCTTGTGGGCAATAAAATGAGAAAACTCAGAAATGTTTAGTAATAAATTTTGATTTTTACTTCAATAACAATAACAGATGTCTAAGCTATAAAAAGTAATTCATTACTAAGATCATGTTTCAAAGAGAATTTCAGGACATCTGCAGATGAACCCATGGTTCAATGCTAAATGCATGTGAACTCTGGTGTTTAACATTGGTGATTGCAAACAAAGATTCTTCTATATGTGTATGGCAATTGTATATGACACTAAGATTAGCAAAGCAGGCTACCACTACTGCAAAGTGACCTCAGTTCTTCACAAAGAGCAAATGTACTGGTTGCTTGCTATAAAACCACTTTTTTGACTTCTGATTGTAAAGCACCAGCTCAAACCTTTCTTCTCCATTCATTTTCATTTATCTTGGTGAGGCAAAATTGCATCTTAGAAGCCCACATGTTATATTAAATCTTTCCCTATCCTGTGTAATTTCTCAATGCTGCCACAGTACCTACTATTACTTGCTACACTGAAACTCATGTTTTAAATTTGTAATTGAAACTCATGTTTTAAATTTGTAATTTAATGATAGAAAGGGACTGTGAATGTATCAGAGGGTCTGCTCCATTATAATTTTTCAAGCTTATTTCATTTTCCCTATTATACTTTCATAGAATACATTATTTCTAAGCTGTTACTGTTGCATAGCAGCTTCAATTCATATGAACTTAATTTCAAGGGTTTTTTTTTTCCCCAACACTTTTTGTAGTTAATGTATCACATTATATTGTTGTGGACTTGGCAGTTGGACTTGATCTTGCATGCCTGTTCCAACCCAAGATTCCTTGAAAGCTTTCGGAAAAGTTTAGATGCTGCATTGTAGACCAATAGGAGGGACAAAAGGTTTTATACATACACTCCTCTGAACAACTTCAGAAAATTTTAAAAAAAGGAAAAACTAAAAGATACTTGAGAAGCTTGTATGGCAGAAGAGGATATTCACATAAAACCAGTATGCAGCATGAAAATTTATATTTTCATCCACTTATGCATAATGGTTTGTTTCCAAAACAAACAATTACTTTGGCTTACTGGAAACAGTAAAATAAACTATCATAATCTTCATTTTTGCATCTCAAATCTCTACACAGAAAAAAACCCTGCAAGTCAAACATCAACTACAAGGGATTTTTTAATCAGATCAAAAGTTAAATATTGCCAGATATTTAACTTATTGCCAAATAAGCTTTTTCACTTACAGAAATAAGTTGAGAAAAATACATAACAAGAAGACAAATAAGGAATTTTAGTAAAGCAGAGATGGGACTTCTTTAGCTGTTTAATTTGGAGTTGTGTTTTTGTGTTTGGTTGCTTTTTTTGG